TATACATTTTTTCTCAAGTATATTTTCCCCCTTACTACTAAATTTCTTCTATATACCGAGTAAGGATGAGCGGGGTATTTATAAGCCCCAAATGGATTCAAATTTGGAGCCAAAACGGTCTTATCCTGGGTTTTCAAGGTATTGGCGGTACCATCGCCAGTACTGGGTAGTACCACCGCCTACCAGTCTTACACTGGGCGGTTTCATCGCCTAGTCTAGCGGTACCACCGCTTGACACATTGATATTGGGTGGTACCATTGTCTGACAACCTCGGAGACTGGGCTTTTGACTTTTCTAGCTTATAGGCGGTTCCACCACCAGTTTGGCAGTGCCATTGCTTGAGCCAACTTTTGGGTCACTGAATGAGCCTCCTAATGAGCCCAAAGCAATCCCAATTTAGGCCCAATTGACCCCTAATTGAGTTAGCATGATTACACCAAAAACTAACTCAATTAACCTCCTAAACTACTTCGATCTAGACAAATGATTACAAAGCATGAATCATTTGTCCGACATGTTATTGGTTCATTCGGACTTCGTTCGATCCTTCAGCGCATCGTCCTCTCCTTCGACGTATTGCCCAATTGACATGTTGACCTCCTGCAACATCCGATCTTCTTAGCGCAATATCCGATCCTTCTGGCCCGACGTCCAATCTTTGACATGTTTTACTTCGGCCCAACTTTTGATTCTTCTTGCTTCAATCAATTTGTCTTTACATGATTGAAGATAGTCCTGCGTTACTCAAACGCTGATTAGATTATAACTTTATCAATTGCTTTCATCATCAAAATCCGAGATTCAACATTTATGAATCTTGACAAGTTGCTTGCACCCTTCTGAAGGTTCTTCAAATGGAACTCCAAGCATGCTTTCCCAAAACAGATTGCCATTTGACCTTTAATTTTCCTTAATCACAATTGCTGCCTCTGTATGGCTCTGGTAAGGTTGTATATCTAACCTTCTTGTGGGTTTGAGTGGCCGAGACCTTATGTGCTGAACTGAACTTTGTTGTCGATGTCCATTATGATGTACATTTAGGTTGAGCTTTAGATTTATTAGTGTAAGCCTCATCTAGATTGAACCTTTGTATTTCAATACACCAATCATTATGTGTCTCATGTCCTAGTACCTTGACATATTTGTGGCTTTACCTGGCTATTCTAATCTACAACTATTTGTTTACCAACACATGTTTCTCATGTCCCATTTCCATGAAGGAATAATGTATCTTTAATTTACTTTTTATTGATTTAGCAATTAACTTGGTATCTGTTAATAATGCGCCATAGAGGCTTTAATAATTGTATTTGTATCTGTATGTTTATTTGAGAACCCTTTATTAAATCTTTTGTAAACTATCATTTTAGTATACAAATTTGTTGAAATTGATTCCGTTGCACAATTATTTTTCATTGTTAGCACAAGTACTCTAGATAAAGAGATCATTTGTAGTTGGTGCAAAAATATACAAGGATTCCTACACTGGATCTTTTAGTTTATGCGAGGTTGTTTGCTGTTTACTCATTCTAGTATTTGTTTTTGCTAAGTGAAATTTGAATTTATAAAACTGTAGATACTGATAAACCATCAGAGTTGACTATGAAGAGTCAAAGAAGATTGGGACCTGCTGGCCTTGCGCTACATTATGCAAATATCATTACTCAGATAGACACCCTTGTGAGTCATTTCTTTCTTCTGTCTTCCCATGTAAAAAAAAAAAAGAATTGTTTACAGTTATGGTATCATTTGCTCTTACACATGTGCTTCTTGACATTCTTAGATACGTCAAAATCATTATCATCTTTGAGCTTTTCTGAGAAGAAAACGTTGTTATTTGTTCTGTATAGAATTAACCTAACCCATGTAGGCTAGCATCTCTTGAACTTAATTTGTCGTGCCATATCGACATTATTAATGCATTGGTGTGCCAGCACACTGAGAAGCACCCAAAAAGAAAATTTTCTGCAAAAGAAAGAACTTGTCAGGATGCAGCAGTCTTTTGGCTCTCTCCTCTGGCATTCCTCTCCTTTTTCATGGCCCCCAAAATTCAGATGTGGGAATCTGACAGCCTTTAATTCAGGAAGTGAAGCAGCTGCAGATTCCCAAAGCCAATTATAAATCAGATCTAACCCACACCCATTTTTAAGTTAAGTTTGGCCTGATCTGGATGATTTGGTCTAAAAGAATTGTGGCTTAGTTCATCAGAATTCGCTGTCTAAGTTTCCACAATGTATAAAATGCTATTTTGTACTCACTTAAACTTATAATTTGGATTTTGGAAAACTATCTGCCATGCATCATGATCAGCATTTCTTTTATAAAAGTAGAATTGTTTCAAATTTCATATTAAATACAATGAACAAACTTGAGTCATGACTCTCACTTAGGGAACAATCTGAGCTCTTAGATATATTTGATATAATTTCTGTAAGATATCATTCAAAAAGGGAAAAGAAAACCTAATATGTTAATTCGATGGTTGACCTGTGTTAAGTTTGTGTATACTCTGCCACCACCAGCTCACATATGATTTGACTGACAAAGCACCATATGTGGTAGTTGAGATCTGCATCACAATCATTATGGCTGGTGCTGGGGCAGTAAAAATTATGATTAACTATAACCAATTGCTCCTGTTCATAGTGGGAAATTACCTTGACGAAATGATTGTGTATGAATGTAATAAACGTTTAGATGTATTCTTTAAACTATGGTTTATGCTAACCGTTAGCTTTAATCAGGTCTCTCGGTCAAGCTCTGTACCTTCAAATACAAGAGACTCGTTGTACCAAGGATTGCCCCCGACGATGAAAAATGCATTTCGTTGTAGGTTGCAATCATTTCAGAACAAGGAAGAGGTATGCAATTGCAAAAATCTGTCACTCAACCTTGCTAAAAAATACATCACTAGATCGATAATAAGTTGTCTTAAATATGATTTGGTTATATGCTAATATAAATGTGTGTAAAATTTTGCAGCTTACTGTTCCTCAAATCAAAGCAGAGATGGAAAAATCATTGCGGTGGCTTGTCCCGATAGCCAATAACACAACCAAGTAATTTAGCTACACATCCAGTTCATCCTTTGAACATGTAAATTTAACCCATGATATATGTTAATACTTCTGTTAACTGTTGCAACTTGTTTAGGGCTCACCATGGTTTTGGTTGGGTTGGAGAGTGGGCAAACATAGGGTAAGAAACCAAAATGTGATTATTTTAATGCCTGGTTCTGTTTAGCTGATTAGTACTTTATTTTGCACAAGATCTCTGGCTTCGTCGAGATTGGTAACCTAGCTAATTGCATACCTTACATTCAGGTCCGAGGTGAATCGAAAGCCAGGTGGTTCGGTGGACTTGATTCGGGTAGAGACACTCTACCATGCAGACAAGGAGAAGACTGAAGCATACATCCTTAACTTATTGCTATGGCTTCACCATCTCATCAGCCGCTTGAAGTCCAGTGGTGGAGGGATCAAATCTCCCATCAAATCCCCAGTTTGTTCTCCCTCACAAGAGGGTTTAACCATAACATCACTGTCTGCGAAACCGAGCCCCCCATCATCCGTGCTCTCTCAAGAAGACGAAGAAATGCTGCAGTACGTGAACTTCAGGAAACTGATCCCAGGGATTAGCAAGAGCCAGGAGTTTGACACAACAAAGTCGAAGTCGGGCAGGCACAACCGGCTGAGCAAGAGCAACAGCCACTCGCCTGCCAGCTGTACCAGGAAAGACTTCTTTGCAGGGGCTAGAAGGCCGTCGTTGCTTCCCGTCATTGACTTTAACATCGACAGGGTAAAAGCGCTGGATATGATCGATCGAGTGGATGATATCAGAAAACCGTGAAGCAGCTACAGAACATGATCCGAGGATTCATCAAGTCCAGCAAAATGATACAAAGAAGAGTGTTCATATGGAAACAGATAACCTCACATGATGGAGCGCTTGTGGATAGAGATGGAGACGGCAAGCATGATCGCCTTGTATCATGAAGTTATAATTTTCTGTGTACAAGCCTTTCGGATCTAATAAATATTCTAAATGTTTTGAGATAAAATGTGGCTGTCAAAGGATCTCCACTGTGATGATGAAGGCTATTTTAGTAGCAAATTACAGAGTCAAGGACAGTATTATCATTATATAATATATTTTAATCCTGATATATTTTGTGTGTGTGTGTGTGTGTGTGGAGGTTTTGAAGGTATTTGTGTTAGAAAAGCCCCCAAGAGCCACTAAATCAATCAAAAATTAACTTTCAGGAAAAGCCATGCCAATGGATAGTGCTCTATCAGGCTTTCGTCCATTGCAAAAAGGTTTTTTTCACTCTTACTTCTTGTATGAGTCTGGATTGCGTCTCAATACCAGTGTGGCTGATCATTCTCTCAAACCAGCTACTGAATTGATCATCCCCTTTGGTAAGTTATTAACTCATCGAACCAGCTACTGATCAATTATCAAATTGATCATCGTCTCGGTAAGTTACCACTGGAGAGAGAAAGAGAGAGAGGCTGAGGAAGAGCAAATTGATCATCGCCTGGGTAAGATTTAGCTCGAGGGAAAGGGTCCAACGAAGAGAGAGAGAGAGAGAGAGAGGCTGAGGAGGAGCAAATTAATCATCGGTAAGATTTGGCTTAGGTTAAGATGGTAAAATTAAAGCAGACAGACAGAGGAGCGGTCCATATAAATTTTTAATGGAGGATAATTTCTAAATAAAAAATTAATTATGATGATCCTTTCTTTCTTAATAAATTATCGTTACTTTTTTTTTTAACAAATATTATGCCATTTATTGCTTTTGCTTTTCACATAAAAAGGAGTTCGTTATGTACCCACTTCCAACCGTTCGTTTACCGCAGTTTATTGGGCCCCACCCAAAAAAAAGAAAAAGAAAAGAAAAAGGTTAATTTAATTAAATGGAGTCTCCACCCACCATTAGCTCGCCATGTGCGAACTCCTCCTCCCTCCTTCCCTCCCTCCATCCATTCCCCCCCCCCTCCTCTCTCTATTCTCTCCTCCGTCCTCCAATTCCCATCTCCAAATCCTCTCCTCTCCTCTCCATCCCTCAAAATCCCTGTTTTTAACAGAGCCGTGACCAAAAAGGTGCGATTTTTAACTCGAAATCTCCTCCTCGGGGCGGCTTCTAAAGGTTCGATTTAAGGCTGCGGCGGTGGCAGGCGAAAGCCCTAGCTTTTACCCCCTTTTATCAGAGGAAGAGTTGACAAAGGCGGGGCCAAAGAGAGGCGGGCTAGGAAAGGAGGGGAATCCGATGATTCGCGGGTCCTCGTTGACCGCCCCCCGTCCTCGGAGGCCGTGACGGGCCCTCGTCTCTCGCCCCGAGAGGGAAGGATGCGGATCGGTGGGTAGATAGCCGCGGTGTGGTTGGAAGGCGGGGATGATGGCCGTCGGTGGTGGCGGTGGGGAGGAGATGGAGAGGGATTTCGAGGCGAAGCTCCGATTGCAGCAGCCGTCGCCGGCCGGGATCGGCGGCGGCAAGACGGTGCAGAGGACCAACAGCATTACCTTCAGGGCGCCGCAGGAACATTTCACGATTGACGATTTCGAGCTGGGGAAGATCTTTGGCGTCGGCTCCTACTCGAAGGTTTGATCTTTCCTCTTTCTATTTCGATCACGTTCATGATCTGTTCCTCTCATCTCTCTTATTAAACCTGTTATTCTACCTCCATTTAGCCATTATGCTATGACTTGGTGCAGTTGTCTTCTTTGTAGCTTGAGTCGGTATGGAAACATGGAGATTTACTCCATAGTTATCATAGAAAAACAAGAAAAAAATGAAAGAGAAAGAAGAGGAATGCCATGGTCATACAGTGATCGCTTGTGATGGTGACATGATCTTTTGAGGTCCTGGTGGTCCCGAAGAAGTACAAGGGATTGAGATACTTGGTCCTTGTTGATTTAGATGTGACTGCATGAGGAAAGAGGTTTGAGCCTGCTTGTTGATCAATGGACAAGGGGAATTGGTAAGTGGGAGTTGTGGTAACGTCGAGGCACCCCCATATAAAATTCACAGTACTAGATGCCATCAATCGTAGGATTCACAGTCAAGTATCGGGCAGTTGGGACACAGATGGTCAACCAATCGTAGATAATTTACCTGATTTATGCAGTAGTCATTTGTTCACACTCCTGGATTTGTAAAGGATCTAGAATAAAGGATTTTCTTAGAAAGAGCCAACATTCCAAAATGTCCTTACTGATTTCTTCCTTTTTTTTTTCGCTTATTTCTTCCACACTTAATGCCAATGCATTTGGGCTCATCCGGAGCGAGCAAAGTATATTTTGGATGGTCGTGTTTTCAATGTCAATGGCTCAACTTTTTTTCTTGATTTATCTTATGAAATTTCAGATATGTGGTAAATAAAAGCATAAGTTTGATTTCGAAACAATGTATATTTTTGGCAAACCAAAGAGAAATGAAATTGGAATTTTTCAAATTTCATATTTTTATAATAAAAAATTTGTAGAATGTTTCTTGTCATACAAAGATGAAACAATTTTATTAGAAAGATGGGCTTTCTGTTGGTTAATTTCAAGTGGACTTTAGAAAACTATTTTCTTGATGAAACCCTCTTAATCCCTGATTCTTGTAGCGTACTCTCTTTTCTGTAGTGTACCCTTCTTCCGTTTCTCTGACATCCTCAACTTCTTCTCTACTAATGTCATTGGTTCTGTTCCTTCCTCACCTCCCTATGCCTATGTAAGAAGTTACTTTCCTCTCTTCTTGGCTGAACCTCCTCCATACCCTCCTTGACCTCATTGTCACCCCAACTTCTACCCCATTACTACATGGGTTACCCTCCTCTGCTCCTCAATTATTTGTCCTTGCTATAATCAGTATGATTTCAGGCACATGGCCTTTATAAACATTTTTTTGCTTTGTCTTGTCCTAGTCTGTCTCCAATTTGTTTGACTGGCGGGTTCGGAACCTCTCCTTTACCTCCCTCCTGGAAATATCCAACTTTGTTAGTGGGAAATGATGAGCAATTGGTTGAGATAGTGGCCGCCTAGACCCTAGAGCTCATTGTCTAGGAGGATGAAGGGCCATCATGGAAATTGTTTTAGTTTCAATAAGTGAATGCATAGCATCTTTTCATGGAGAAGTGAATCAGAAATAAAGATGAAAAACGAGAATAAAAATATGGAAATAGATTGTTGTTCTTTCAAAGTAAAAGCCCTCAATATCTAGACATGTACAGGAATGAGACTCTTGAGCTGATGTTTCCACGATGATTAGATCATTCCATTATATATTCTTTATTATGTGTCGTCATAAGGTAAAGCACTATATTGTCATCTTATGAAATACTCATTTTCTCTCTCTAGTTAAACTTCTCATGATTGTAGTCATTTATCATCAAGAAAAGTGATCTCTCATGGCAATTTGCTTGCAAGGATAATGTTATATACATTGACCCCACCATTTTTTTAGGGAGCCACATGCACTGGGTCACCCTAGAAGTGATCTTTCCTGTGGAACATAATTATACAAGTACACCACTGCACCATTTGTTTACCTTTTCTGGTTTTGACACATGTTGTCTCTACAAATGTTGAGTCATAATCCTAGATTGGTATCAACTAGGATGGCTCATTGGTGAAATTTGATTGCACATAACATTGGTGTCATTTTGCAATTTCACAGAGTACAAATTGTTGGTATTTCATGTTTGCACACAGTTACTTCTTGGGCTGTGTTTTCTTTTTCAATTCTTGAACTGAATTGCTTTCAATTTTCTTGCACTAGTAATCGATAATTGTTGTTGTTGACGTTGTTTGGACATTACAGAGTTTCAACAATTATAGCAGACATTGTTCGGTTTTCTTCAAGGAGAACATGTGATGGAATTCTATAGTAATATTCCATATGAGAACATGCATTTATCTGAAAATTACTCTTAATAAAGATGGTTCTCCAAATTATAGCATACATTGTTCATTTTTCTTCAAGGAGAACATGTGATGGAATTCTATAGTAAGATTCCATATGAGAACATGCATTTATCTGAAAATCACTCTTAATAAAGATGCTTCTCCAAATTCCATTTAAGATTATGTCAGTTACTTCATGGTGGTCACCGTCTGATACATGCATCCAGACTTGGTGGCTGGTATTTTAAGTTTTGCTTTGTGCTTCTTCTAAATGAGATTTTCTTGATGACACCAATGCTTTGAGGTTGGCACAGAAGCTGATGGATACCCACAAGCACTTATATCTAAAGATACTGATCAACTTTGAGAGAGTATAGGAAATATAGTTTATACTTGTGACACTTTTGCTGGTTTCCTTATTGAACTTACATCGAATAGTATTTTCTATGCATGTTTATTCTTATTTCTTTAATGGATCATGTTTTAGAAAGAGTTTTTTTATGTCTAATTCTTCCTTATCAGGTTGTCAGGGCAAAGAAGAAGGATACAGGAAATGTCTATGCTTTGAAAATTATGGACAAGAAGTTCATAGCAAAAGAAAATAAAGTATCTTATGTAAAGATGGAGCGTATAGTACTTGATCAGTTAGATCATCCTGGCATAATCGGGCTGTGTTTTACGTTTCAAGATGCCTACTCACTTTGTAAGTCTGTATCTTATATGCTTTGAGCCATGGCTAGAAGTTTCACATCATCTGTTGGTATTCTTTGTGTCATAAGTGATTGAAGTTAGTTTATATGATCTCTGACATTTGCATGTGTTGATGTTACTTTGAAGACATGGCACTTGAGTGTTGTGAAGGTGGAGAGCTATTTGACCAAATAACCAGGGTAGTTTTTGAATGACTTAGCATTTCTTCTTATTAAATGTTTTCTTTGCTCACCAAACTATTTTATTTGGTGGGCTGCAGAAAGGGCATTTAACTGAGGCTGAGGCTCGCTTCTATTTTGCTGAAGTTGTTGATGCTTTAGAATATATTCATGGTGTCGGATTAATTCATCGGGACATCAAGGTCAACAGCAGATATGCAAGTCTTATTCTGTTCCTTTTTATGCATAATCACTTAAGCTATATTGGTTGATGCAGCCAGAGAACTTACTATTGACAACTGATGGACACATAAAAATTGCTGACTTTGGCAGTGTGAAGCCCACCAGGGATAGTCAGATAACAGTTCTTCCAAATTCAGCAAGTAAGGTTATAAAATGTCTAAAAAATTTTCTTTCCAGGTTATAGATCAGTACTAGTTGTTTATTTTTTATTCTACTTTTTAGATGAAAAAGCATGTACTTTTGTTGGAACTGCTGCATATGTCCCTCCAGAAGTTCTTAATTCTTCTCCAGCAACGTTTGGGTAAGGAAACTCTTAGCCTCCATGTTAAATGTGAAATTCCCCCTCTTATCTTATAGTTTGATTATTTTTTGATTACTTTATTGTGTGTGTCCATTTACGTATGACCATATGCAACAGAAGTCAGAAGTGACAGAGTGAGTAACTTACACACACACACACACACACACTATGTGTGTGTGTGTGTCTGTGTCTGTATGCAACAATTTCATTGCCATTACATAGACCATTTTAAGTGGTGTACCTCTTAGAAATAATAATCAAACCCCTTTTTTGTCACTTTTGAACTTTTCAATGTTATAGTGTTTTTTATTTATCATTTAAAAACTATTAATTTCTGACTTATATGTCATGAACAATTCAACAAGTGGATTCTATGACATACTACCTAGCAGGTCAGTGTACCCCTGATTTGGTGGCTGTACAGAACTTGACCATTTCTTTTTTTTTTATTTGTTTTATTTACTTCGGTTGAACTATTCAGGCAGATGTTCTACAGTCTTCTTTTCACAGACCTCATAGTTAACTGATAGATTAGTAATATGAGTACAACAAGCACAGTCCAATTTTTTTTCCGAGTAGGATGGAAGGGATCTCACTGGGGTGATGCTCATTTTAGTAAAACTATGGTGTTCTAATTTGAAAGTCTATCATCTTGTGGGAGAGCACTTCATGATGTAGATCTGCATTTCTGTGTTTCTGAATCTAACTACTGATTTTAAGCTGGCTTTGTTCTGACAGCCATGATTGACATAACTGGGAGGTTGGTTGTCTGGAAGTGTAATTCATCTCTGTGAATTTCAAGGATGAATACTATTTTGGTTTTTTATTCATTTCATGAAGCTTTAAATATTGAGAGGCTTGGAAAAGCTTGGTAATAAGTTGCTAAGTTTAAAACAGAAATCCTATTTAGCAAATATATCCAATCAAGAGCATTCATAGGCAGATCTAGTGGTAGGCCTGAAGATGAACATGATGATCAGTTCATGAAAGCATGTTTGTTAGGAGAGAAGTTTGCAGTTCAAGAGAAGGGAACAAGACATACTAAATCACCTCATGATGGATTTATATGTCCATTTTTTCATGCAAGTACTGTTTCAATATTCTCTGATATGTGGTAGCTTTTACCAGGAACGACCTTTGGGCCCTTGGATGCACCTTATATCAAATGCTTTCTGGTTCATCTCCCTTTAAAGATGCTAGTGAATGGCTTATTTTCCAAAGAATCATAGCAAGAGACCTCAGGTTTCCTGAGTACTTTTCACATGAAGCAAAGGACCTTATTGATAAGTTATTGGTATGCAACAATCAGTTTTCTGCAACACCTATATGATCAGTTTTGATCAAATTTTTTCTATTCTTTTCAGGATGTTTTAAGTGAACTCATGTATTTGATTTGTATGACATCAGAACTTATTTGGTTTCACAAATTTGTTATGGTTGCGAAAAGTTTGTGTCCTGGTTTGATTACAGAAACTATGTTATGATTAGATATCTCAGGTATCTGATAATTCCTTTGCTGGTAGCTGAATGTCTTTGTATTAGCATCCTCTGAGTTTTACAATTTTGGGCAATCACTTAACTTTTTAGTCCATGTCAACAAATTTAGTGCTCAAGTGGAACTTTGTTTAATTAATTGGTTTTTAGATGGTTGTACTCATTCATTTTCTTAATGAAATTAGTTGTACAAGTTTACCTGTTCTTTGTCTTTAAAAAATAAATTAAATAAGAGAAATGGAGTGTATAGATGGAATTGACAAAGACTCGATTTACAAATAAGCTTCTTGAGCTGTATTATTTTGTATTAATCCAACTACCAGTTTAAGCACATTGCTGAGGCAGCAAAGTCAAGCAGACTACTTGCTTTGTTTTTCTAGATTGTATCAACCTGTGTGACTTCTTTGTGAGGTTAAATATAATGAATAAATTCAATACAACTACTGCAACATTATAAAAGTTGTGTCAATATTTGAAACAGGGCCCATGTATTGCACGAGGAACAAAAGCAACAGCAATCTGTTAGAAAGAGTAGAAATTTGGAGGAAACATTTATACCATTTTATCACATGATCTCCATTTTATATGAGAAACAAATCTAACAACAAGCTGGTTGATTGTGTCTCAGCATGGGAGCTAAGAAAAGTTATCTGCATGTATGGTTTTTCCACAATAGACACAGTAGAATAGATGTAATAACTATTCATGATCCTCAACCATATTTTGCAATTCAGTCTCTGATCCACTTACCATGGTTTTTAAATATCTTGATTTTGCTCAAGTTTATTGTTATAAACTTCAAATTTTGTTTTAAAGCACTACCCTTATATTGTTGTGATTGACACAATGACCATCATTATCTCCCTTGGTTTCAATCTGTATAATGTGTTCCTCTTGAGTCAGTAGCAACACAGGCTTACCACATGTTTGTTCACTTATTTTTTGATGAAATGGCAGTTAATTAAGATGCATTACTCTTGCATGCATATATAGGCACATTATTTTGATGAGTGGACAGTAGTTTAGGGGACTGGGTGCTTAATCTGTCCAAAATGTGTTTCTCTTTGACTAGATGGACTAAGATTTTCCTTTCTCATGGAGCCATTTGATTAGAATCACATATTTGTGAATTGTCCAAAATGTGTTTCTTTTTTACTAGATGGACTAAGATTTTTCTTTCTCATGGAACCATTTGATTGGAACCACATATTTATGAATCCATGTAAAGCTTGTCACTTCAATATGAGAAAACTCTCTGCCCTCTGGTTTCCCAGCCAAAAAATGCTGTTTTCAAACTGTCTAAAATCTTTTGAGTTTTGTGAATATATGTTGTTTTGGTACATTGATAAGGGCTAGTTATTAATTATTTTCCCTTTACCTTCTTTCTTGTTGAGGATGACACGACATGTAATTGTTGTATGCCTGGAACACAGCTCCCTCTGTAGCCATGAGCAAGAATATATGTCTAAAAAATGACAAGATATAGAATATATTTTATGTGAGACTCAATTAAATGCATTTCTGTGCAATGATGCATTACAAACTCTTGCCTATTCTTGAAATATCTTTATTTTCATGATGGTTTACTGTCTGAGAGGACCCAGTAACATACTTAGTGGATTTACTCAAGTATTAAACATAGCAATCTTCAACTGCAACAGAGCTATGATAGTGTTATTAATTTTTCATTCAATTTTTTGTGGAGGCATCTAGAAGAGGAGACAGATTTAGTTCCTCTTACGACATATAGAAGAAAAATCAAATAAGTGGAATGATTCAAACATATAATTGAAGTTTCTAAATAGGATTAATTATTTGAGAAGCATCAGAAAAATATTTGCTAATTAGGCTTGGGTGACCACAGAAACAAGGTATTGAGGGGCACACATTCTTTCTATTTTAGTTACAATATTTTCAACTCTAGAATTACTGCATCACGGTGGCATTCCCACTTCCTATCTAATGGTTGTGATGGGATAATGTGCACATAGCCAATTTCACCAATGGATATTTTCCTGATAGCTTAAATAGCTTTTTTTTTTTTTTTTTGCAAATTTTCATTTTGGTTTTGTGAAGGTTTTGCTAATTGGAGAACCTGTTTTCTTGGTTGTGAACCTTTATGATGATTCTTGCAGTTTGCAGAGATTTAATTGGTATATTGATTTCTAATGTTTGAAAAGATATAGCTTCCTCTCTTGATCCAAGTTCCATTACAGGATATAGAACCCAGTAGAAGACCAGGTGCTGGACCTGATGGTTATACCTCTCTCAAGAAGCATCCTTTTTTCAAAGGAATTGATTGGAAGAATCTGCGGAAGGCTCCAGCACCACGACTTGCTCTGGAGCAGGATGTACATACTTACACTTGCACCTTTTTTATGTTAACTATTTTGCTACAGGTATTTGATGATTTAGTGACTTAGTCAATGGTTCTGTTCTCAAGTAGATAGTCATTTTTTTCTTCAGACCACTGCGGATTATGACAGTCAGGACACTTCATGGAATCTCACGCATATTGGAGGTTCTCCAGCTCACCAACATCTCACACCAGAAGGGAATGCTGGTGCCACATCATCTTCCGAAACACAGTCTCATATCTCTAAGCTGTCTTCAATCGACTCATTTGACTCGAAATGGTATGCTCATAATTTTTCTTTGTGCCATTTGGCATTACTTATTAGTCGTATATCATTGCTTTTTACAGTTGATGTTTTGGCAAGCGTGCAAAACTTTGTTTCTGAAATGAACTTTGTATGCATAGCATGATTATGCTTTTTCTTTAGTTTGGGTTTTCTTTCTTTCTTTGGCTGATCCAATTTTCTTTTATCTTGTGTAATTTTATGCAATTTATGTTTTATAAGTTCCTTAGTTTTCAATCTTTTGTGTGCTATAGAAAGCTTCAAAGATTTGTTCACTGGTGCTTCATAAATTTGTTACTGCCAGGCAAGACTTTCTTGAGCCCGGTGAGGGCATTGTTATGATCTCAAGGCTGAAGAAAATTCAAAAGCTGACTAACAAGAAAGTGCAACTCATCCTTACTGACAAACCTAAATTGCTTTGTGTGGATCCCTCCAAAATGACAGCTAAAGCAAACATAATTTGGTCCGATAACCCCAGTGACCTCCATGTCCAAGTAGCAAATCCGTCACATTTCAAGATATGCACTGTATGTTTCTCCTCCCAAGTGTTTTACCATATTATCCATAAAAATCTCTGGCAAATCCAAATGAAGTGCATTGTTAATTTTTCAGCCCAAAAAGGTGACTTCATTCGAGGATGCAAAACAGCGAGCATGGCAGTGGAAGAAGGCAATTGAAGGCCTTCAACACCGTTGAATCTGCTAACTACCGCAACCATTCCAGAACATAATACTGCTTACAAGTACAAATTTTGTTCCAAAAGGATGACATTAAGAAATGGGTAATTAATATACCAATCCCGCTGCTTGCTTCACCAGTCCAGAATACCAAGTTGTAGAAAAATTCTTTTCCGGTATTCTTACTTTCCGCTAAAGTTGATGAGCACTGATATATGATTATATCTCAAAATTTTTCTTTGTAGATCAAATCAAACTATTTTATATGAGTCAGTAATTGCTCGTGGGACCGTGACAGATGCTTACCGCAAATTTTTCTGGCATAGAAGTGTATTATCATTTGTATCTTACAGATCATTGTTTCATATTTCTGTTAATGACCTTGTTCTATTGGCCAAGCCTGATAAAACTGATTCAGAATGCCTTATATCATGAATGTTCCATGCTTCCAATCCTGTAGTTGTTTCTTGATCTGTACATATTTGGCAGAACAATAAACTCAGATGATGAGTGATATTGACCAGTGGTTGGATATGTCCATACACCATGGAGATAATATGAAATGGATGAAAGGTAAAAGCTATGTCTTGTGGCATAGAATCCAGCTGAAATCAACATTTGCAACTCAAAACAAGAAAAGGCATCTACTCTATGTTTTCTTGAGATAGTGTTGTGG